TATGGGCAAGACTGACACCAATGTGTTTCTAATCTGTCTAATCTCTAATGTTAGACAAATATGTATACACAAATGTATACACACACACACACACACACACACATATATATATATATAGCCTATAGGCAAAATTATGACACCTTATTGCTACAGTTGTCAGTTGTTATATACATATATATGTACATAAAACTCAATATTTTTTCTAAAACCAACATTCCATGGTGTGGATGTTACAGAAATGTACAACTTTAGTTCGATACTCTAACCTTCTATCATTCTCATAACAGTTATTCTGGGTATAGTGGCAAGCAACGCAAAGGAATGAAAGTATGAAAGCTTAAGCATCTTAATGTTATGATATGTGGAACAGGAAGTTCACCTGAAATTCTACTGTACACCCAGGTACAATGACGTTGCCTGATGAAGTATGCGATGCATTTAAGGGTTTAAGGAACAGTACTGTGACACCTGCTCACGTTTACATGTTCCCGGGACCAAATCTTGCAATGCAAACCTTAATTGAAACCTAATGATCAAATATTTGAACTAAAGTAAAGGAAACAACACCCAATGACAAAAAAAAAAATATTTTTTTACTTTTGGGCTGCTCCATTTCGGTTTTATCACGGCATATTATTAGTGTGCATCTCACTCTAACCATCGTCCAGTACTCCAGACATCATCTTTAAGTGGCATCAAACCTGTGGGAGATACGTACCGATATTAAATATTGCGCTTTGATTACCAGCTTCAGACATATGATCCTGTATTGTCTGACACTCTTCACTTTGACACCCTCCGGCCTACACCAAGGTAGAACAGTTTGAAAATTCCTTCAGTGCTAACGGCCTGGGTGTCCCTCACTGTAGTCACCATGCACCATTCTTTCTTCTGTCCACTGTGTCAGTCAACCATCACCATCACACCAAACAATAGCACATGCACTAGGCGTTTTTTGTGACGTGCACCTTCGCTTCGGCGGAACTTATTTGGAAAATGCTTTTTTTCCTTGATGCAACCCAACTGGTTGGCCCGTGCTTCCTTCTCTCGGGGGCAGCAGAGTGCATTGATATGGGCGTCAGTCCAAATAGCACGTAAACGTCTTTATCAGGACCATTATCTAAAAACTGCTTAAGGTGGAGCTAATCAGTCAACAATATCTTTTCAGCTATTTGCCCTTATGTTATGTTGAGTCAAGCTGTTCAAGATGTATTAAAAAAGGTTATTTTTTCATCAATACATATCTAGTGTAGAATATTCTGCAATGAGGTAAATGAGTGTGCTTCTTTTAGGCTCATTCTCCAGATGTTTTACCGGGGCCATGTCGGAAAATAGTATACTTTGCAAAGCAGGTGTTTTTGTGCTGTTTAACTCTGTTATTTGCAGGGACTTCACAGGCAATATGGTTAACAGTAGGTGCAATACTTTGGCATGGATTAGAGTCATCTTTGCATTAAATGACTTCTCTTTTGTGTGGTGTAATATTTCTCATTTCCATACTCCTATCAGAATAAAAGCGTTGTCATCAGATTACAACGATACATTGAGTGAAAATGTTTAGTTCATGTCTAATAGATATTTGATTTATTTTCAGCAGACATTGCTGATAGTGTGAGAGTATTCATGCGGAACTCTGTTCACCGTTCTGACAAGCACACTTAACACAGTTGATGCATTTCCTCATGTTTCTCAGTCATTATCCGGCCTCCTCTATTGGAAAAATACAAGCATACTGAATAGCAGCTGCCATTCAGAACAGCTGATATTGCATTGATTTTCTTTTCACGGAAAAGATTCTATCACAGGTGGCGTGAGACATGTCTCAGACTTCCTTAAACAAAACGTCAGATTAAATCAGAACGACTTAAAGAGCGGCTTTTAAAGGAGACGATTCGACTCTGAGTGTGCAGCCCTGAAGGCAGCTGGTCCTGCAGCATAGTCTTCAGTTTTCCCCCCGGACCTCTCAGCCCCCTCTGACAGATTAAATCATGCAAACGGTCGTCATACTCTCTGTCTAATCTGTGACGGACATATCAGGCAAGACACACTCTTGGCTTTAATAAGTGGCCATTAAATTGGGACATAGGTAATTACTTCACTATCAAGATGACCCAAAGCCCTGAACCATAACTCTGATTTACACCTTTGATCCAGGTCCTTTTCTTCAGGTCCTTGATCCTAAAGTTTCATCTCAAAGTCTGATTGTAATTCTGACAAACTGACAGAGAAGAAGGAAAGCCACTCTAAAGTTCTATTAGGACAAGCTTTTGGTGGAACAGCTTTTTATTAGCAACGTGTCTGGTGTCTGACGAACCCAAAAGCCTAAGCAGTGCTTACCCAATGCTCCGCGAATAAATATTTATTTACTCTGTTTCGTTTCTTCCAGTGTTTAATTGTACTTGCCAAACACTGTGCATGTCACCTCATCTTAATGAGGTGAGAGCAATAACATCTTATGCATCTGTAAAGTTTCCGCTCGGTTTTTATTTCACATGTTTCCAGCTTTTAGTCACTCGGTGTTGCATGTGTGTATGGGATAGGGGACAAAAATCATCCCTTCATTCTTTTCCTTCTGCACTCAGTGGCCATCTGAATGTGCCACACAAAGGACATGAATCACCTCACACATCCCCTATTGCAGCTTGAATTGTGAGGCCTACCACAAAATGACGCCTTTGGTATTTTGAGAACAAGTGACTATTTTCGCCCATCCTTTGTTTCCATTTCACCTTCGTAGTAAGTACAGCCAGGCAACATCACGTGGAGACAAAGGGGAAGAGACAGACATAGCCCGAAAGGCTCATGATTTGTGGAACCAAGAGTCATGGCCAACAGTTGAAAAAACACAAACCTGTGAAGTTCCTCAAGCTCAATACAGGTCAGTGTTTTGTCTTTTCCCCACAACAGAAGTCTATTAGTATGCATTGGAAATATTCTAAGATGATTAACCTACTTTGTTTGGTTGTTTTCCACTTAATCATATTGTCCCTATTTATTCTTTGTAAAAGATTTTTTTCTGAATTGGAGAAGAAAAACCTTAATTTTTTTGTATGTACTATACTATACTATACTATACTATACTATACTATACTATACTATACTGTACTATACTTTACTATACGCCACTCTTGTGTTTGCATTTTTTTACTTTGGCTGAGCAGGTGCAGGGAGGCTCAACCCGTCCCGGCAGCCTATTTTGCCCCTCCTTTCCCTGTTTCACACGTGTGACTCAGTTATCCTGTCAACCAATCATGGACAGTTACAGGAAAAAAATGCAAGCCCAAGGAGGCTGCACACTTGTTGAACCCCAGCGACACTCAGCACTCAGACGGCACACTCGGATGCAGACGCACAGCCTCTCCATCATTCTGCTGCCAGTGAACTTGTGCTGTGACCAACCTGCCAATCCTCTGCCCACTCAGAATTTTCCGTTTGCAGAGTGTCTTGCACACACCTGCCAAAATGTGCCTTCTGACAGCTGCCCTGCTCTTTGCTGCACTTGGTGAGTATTGGACCAAATCTTTTCTTTTCGCACGGGCGTTGTGAATAAACTAGGGTTTAAAGTGTCTATTGTTCGTTCTGGGGTTTTAAAGCACGTCTCTCAAGGGAAAACCAGCAGCTTCTCATTATTCAGCAGGAAAAACACAAACACCTTCTTTTTGATGTTGTTCTGAGACCAATGCAGTATTTCCCCCAACTGCTCAGCCTTATTGACACAAAGCTCGAGAGGTTCTCTCTCCTCATTCAGGTAAAAAGAGTTTGTTTGTTTTTTTAAAAACTCTCGCATTCAATATTTTAGAAAAAAAAATTCATCTAATGCAAATGAAAATTATTTTTATGGAAACGCCTGTGAAAATTAGTAGTTGAAGGGCCAAATATACATAGAGAAATGTTTATGTTGTTTGATTTTACTTGCTTGGGATCACCAAATTATTGAATGGCAACGGGTTCAACTTCTTGTTCACAAGACTAAGTAACGTTTTTGCACAAGATAGCACGGAATATACAGAAAGCGAGTCATCTTAAAATAAATAACTGACTCTAAATATTTCCAAGGATTCCTAAAAACCTGCTGAAATGTTGAATTTTGATGTTTATAGCTGCCTTTTCCTTTTGTTTTCACGCTGTTGTTTCATGATTAATCATTCATTACTGTTCTGCTTTTTAACACCTATCATATTGCTTTTTTGGATGCCTATATCTGAGCTTCCTGGTGAGTTTTACTGCAGCTTGTGATTGATAAAACACCACATTGACTCTTACAGATGTGTGTCACCAATGTTGCTTTAATATTTCACCTTCCACCTACGTGGAAGGTTGTTGTATTTTATATTTTGTTGTATTTGTATATTGTTGTATTTTGTGTTTTATATGTTTCTTTTCTGGAATTTATTTAGTTTCTTTGTTAATTTTTTTATTGATTTATTTTTTGTCATATCACTTTACATTGTATTAATGTGAATGTATTTTGATTTACTTAATTATGCAGTAGATCTGCAAGTGAAACGTATTTTTAGTTTTACTTTGATCATGTCTATTTATAGACGTGTTACATTTTCTGTCTCTAATTATTGGCCACACCCACTTATTGTTTCGTTTCATTTTTTATTTTCTGTTGAAATTCCTGCTTGCCTTTCTGATTCATCGTACTAATTAGGGGGGCAGTCTTTCAGACAGTGAACAGCAGCCTCAGCGCTCAGTAATTTTAGTGTTGTCTTCACACAAGAAAACGTATTTTAAATGATGTCAAGGAGAGAAAGTTTATTCATCCACTGTGAAACATTAGAGCAGAAACATAACTACATGTTTGGAACTTACACAACAGTGTTGTGGAAACTAAAAAACCTCATCTGCCGATAAACAAAAATGGAGAAGTTCAACTTTTTAGATAACAGACATTTGCAGGTTGCAAAATGCATTGTGAAGTTCTTCTAATTTAGAATAGTAAAAGGAAACTGACACTGTATAGTCCATAATGGAAATCTACTTATAATGGTAGAATGACAGCTTGTTTCTTCCATGTCATCTTTCCAGATTCCATCACGTGCGCACAGTTTTTGGCACCTCTGAACATGGAAGGTGTCACAGGGCGTGTGCTGTTTGACTCCTCCTCCAGGACAGCCCATGTCAACGTGTCTGGCGCAGGATCATGTGGTGTAGTTAACGTTTCCCTCAGTGAGTTTCCTGTGATGTACGGCCACTTTGCGCAGCCCTGTTCCGAAGCAAACATCGGCCCCAGCATCTTCACATTCACCGTGGATGCGACCTCAGAATCCACCATCAACATGTCTAGTCTCTTTGAACGCCGACCAAACCTGGATGACCTCTCGCTGTCTTTGCAGACATGTAATGGGACAAAAGTGTGCACAACTGTAAGTCAAGGCCAAACACTCTTGACTCAGCAGGCCAGGTTCACAGATTCAATCGTGGGTAACGTTTATTTACGCCTCAATCAAAACAGTACCAACGCCTGGCTGCTTGCAGACCTAGTGACGGTCGGTCAGGTGAACATCTCACAAACCAATGTCACTCTCTTTGGATCAACAAGCACTGATTCAAGCTGTGCTAATCTACTTGAAAACTTAGATCCATCAGCTTTGGTGACTCTGGGTGTTGTGAAGGTGGGACACCCTTTGCAGCTCCAGAAATCCCGCCTGGATCTTGACAGTCTCAGTACCACTTATAGTTTTCTTCTCCTCAACACTGGGTCTGAATACAGATGTGCCCAGATGTATAATATATCAGAGAAACAAGTGAGAGCTTTTGTGAACATGAGAGGAATCAAAGGGTTCTTCCACTTTCACCAAGCTTCCCCATTTGACGTGACTAAAATGACTGTGAACCTGGAAAACCTAGGGAAGATAGTCGGGCCTTTCCATGTCCATCTATTCCCTCTCCCTTCAGTTGGGTCGAGCATGTGTTCAAATGATGACGTGGGCGGCCACTGGAACCCATTTAAAATCGACAAAAATGACATAATGTACCCAAAACAACCCGGGTCAACACATGACAAATATGAAATGGGCGACCTCAGTGCCAAGCACATGTCTCTAGAAGGGAAGGATGCTGTGAATGTGATGTTCACAGATTTCAACCTCCCTCTGTTTGGACCGAACAGCATCGTGGGCCGATCAGTTGTTATTCACAAAGTAGACGGTTCCAGGCATGTTTGTGCAAGCATCGGTTATCCCGGGGAGGTGATGACAGGCAAAGCCATATTTCAGGGTCTTGTTGTGGGTGAGGTCTGGTTTACTCAGCTGGTGAACCGTCCTCTGTCAGATGTTTCCGTCTTCATGGACCTGTCTTATGGAAATTCCACCATGGCTAAAACCATGAATCACAACTGGCATGTTCACGTTTACCCCATTAGTTCAGAGAGGGATGATGATGAAGGGCGCTGCGGCACAACAGGAGGTCACTGGAACCCCTTTAACGTCAACACGGGCGACATTAGCTATTCCCTCCACTGTAGCACATCTGGTCCCATGTGTTGTGAGGTGGGAGACCTCTCCAGCAAACTCAGTACCATTAATCTTGACAGCAGAGTGGGAAAGGTGGACGCCAAACACTTTTTCACTGATGTCACTTCCTGGTTGCCGGTGTCAGGCATAGTCGGTCGTTCAGTAGTCATCCACGCTGCGGAAAAGGGAGGGCCACGGATCGCTTGTGCTAACGTTACCACGGTGCGGGCTTCAAAAGCTCGCCTAAGTAGTTGGTTTGGTCCTGGGGTGTACGGAGGTCAGGTGAATTTCTCCCAAGACGTCCCAAAAGGCCCCACAACTATACGAGTGTCCCTGAACAACCTGCGGTCCTCAGCCGGAGGCTACCACGTTCACATTCTGCCCATTAAGCCTGACAGTGCCACGCCCTGTTCAAATGCGGACATCCAAGGCCACTTCAACCCACTGGCCTGGAACACATCACGCTCTCCCACCCCTAAAGCTGGGACTGTGGACCAGTATGAATTGGGGGACATCAGTGGGAAGTTTGGCATGCTTAATGGACAAAACGACTCCGAGGCACTGTTTGAAGACCCTGACATGCCTCTTACTGGACCCCACAGCGTCGTGGGAAGGTCTCTGGTAGTTCACCACCGCAGTGGAGCAAGGTGAGAACAGATAATGGTTAACTTGTTTTAACTCTAAAGAGAGAGAGAGAGAGTATTTTTCTTTCTAATTGGAACTTATGTTAAATAAAGAAACTACATGCTTCCAAAATTGAAGCGCTGAAGTGTGTAATCTGAAGAGGATTGGAAATGAAAGCTTAGCCATCCTCATGTCCTCACAACTGCATACTTTTTTCAGGATAATAGTGTAGAGTGTCGCAGACACAGTAATATCTCCCTCGTGTCTTGTGTTATCATTCACCGAAAATGTTGTTCATTCTTAGAGAATGACTCAGCGAGGCACTGGGATGGAGAAATCTCCAGGGTTGACCCTACAGAGTTTCTTGGGTCGCTTCATTGTATTTGTCTGCTCTTGTTTATGTTCACTCTACAGAATGAGGTGTGCCGATATCTTAGCAGAGAGAAGTGCAGACGGACAATGGACCGTTGCCAAAGCTCTCTTCCAGGGAAGGGTGGCTGGGACGGTGAGCTTGGTAAGAACTCGTGCAATGACACTTTGGAAAATCTGTCCACTTTGTTGATCAAATTTTCCAAACCATAAGCACTTCAGGTCTCCATGCCAAGTGTTTGGCCATCAACATTTAAAGAGCGCTGCGTTTTAAGGTGGAGACCTTAACATTTTTTTTAAAAGGTCTGTCAATGTGTACACAAACTGCACAGGAACATGCTTTGGTGCTAACTTATTTGGAAGCAAGCTGCCACAAAAACATGACATAGTATTTCTGCTGCCCTGGACAGACATTATCTCTGTGATGGTCATGGGAAGCAGGGGTGCAATCTTTAGCTTAGCTTAGCATCCATCTGCGGGTTAATGGTAAATACAGGCTCCCTGAACTGAGACACACCATGGGAACAGCTGTCCTTGTCAGCTGCCCTCCAGAGGCCCCATACTGAGCCCTGGTCAGTGTTTGCATGAGAGCTTGTAAAACCTTTAAAGACATACCAAACAGAGAAAGAAGGTAATTTGTATTAAGTATTTTTATCATAAGATAATGGGTCGGATTTAAATAGTTGCACTTAATGGAAAAAGTATCAACAAATATTACACAGAATAGAACATCCTTAACTCTGACCAAACTAATTTTAAATCTATTGCGCTTGACAGCAATGTTTCAGCTCGTTTGCTTTTATTTGCTGCTAATCTTTCTTTTTCATATTTCCAGAGCCAGCAGATGTTTCCTGATGGGAGCAGGAGTGATGTTACATTAAATGTGGACCTTCAGTCATTTGAAAGTCGAGATGTAAGTTCATCTTCAAACAGCACAATGTTACATGTGTCACTTGAGGTAATTAACATCACAATTCACAGAAGCATATTAAAAGATTATTTAATTAGCAACAACAGCGACCCAACCTTTTTCTTCCACGTCACACCTTAAGACTTGTATGACTTGAAGAAAGTCTGAGAATATAATTTGGTATCTGATCACACCTCACTGTTTGTGCCCTCTGTCGATATGTGTGTTTGTTTCTATTAGTATCTTTCAATATTAACATTTAACATTTAAGGATAAAGGAAAAATATTCATGCTCATTCATACAATCTTCAGACACCTCAGGTGTCCTTATTCATCACAAACAACCGCGTGGATGTCAACGACAGTGTCTGCAGTGGCGTGGGAAGCACGTTCAATCCCTTCAACATGAACTCCTCGGTGAGACTGAATTCTTATTTTTGCTTTTTATCGAATACATCTATAGATAGATGTTCGGTGTCGACAGCACCCTTTAAAGCAAGATAGAATGGAACCTAATTGAGACAAACTGAGACTGTGACAGTTAAATTGCTGGTGAGAGCTCAGATGAGCGGATTTGATTTACACAAGTAGCTGCTTCCTATTGTAGTCTGATATTTTTGGTATCTCTTCTCAGTTATGCCCAGATTGAAAAACCCTCAATGAAGCATGTGATCGTGCACTTGGCAGCTGTCGTTTTCCTCCAGTTATATTTAACCTTTTCAGACGTTTAAAAAAAATGTAAATCACTTAGTGTTTATGTTTCAAACTCTAAAATAGCATGTGCCATCCACTTACACATCATTACTCTGAGAACTGCACATATAGAGCATCGTGTGTCTGCCTGTTTTTTTAGCTTTTTTCTTATTTGCTGTCGCGAAATTGATCGAAACGGTGGGTAAATTCTTGGTTGGGCCATCACAAAACAATCAGAGTAATCAGGGGCTGTGAACAGGCGGCACTCCCCTTGCGGCACTTGTTGGTTATATCTTGGTGGGTGGTCCTTTCACTAACAACAATCATTGTCTTAGCTGAGGGCAATTAAACACGTGAACAGTGTCTAATTGTGTTCACAGAATAAAAATAGGGGTTAGGGCTGAATCATCAGCACTTCTTGGTTGAAGACATTATGGGTAAATACGTGCGTGTCTACATGTGCGTGTCCACCGTGCAAAGCCACTGAACAAGGCAATCTTGTCCCATTGCCATATTGCTGTAACTCCAGCCTTACCACCTGTTTTTAGAATGTGCCGCAATTCCATTCCTGTTGTTTAGAAGTCCTTAGTATTTATCGTGCTTGACCTATCAGCTGCATTCGCCTCGTCAATCATGACATCCTTCTGTCTATACTCTTGAGCAAGGGCATCACAGGGAGAGCACACTCCTGGTTTGAATCGTACCTCACTGGTCGATCAGTCAAAGTATCCTGGCTTGGTCACACTTCTGCAGTGCACCACCTCTCCACAGGGGTTCCTCAAGGTTCACTACTGGGACCTCTTCTCTTTGCCATGTACACCACCACTCTGGGCCAGAACATTCAATCACATGACGTTTCATACCACTGTTATGCTGTTGGCACCCAGCTCTATCTGTCATTTCCACCTGATGACCACACAGTCTCAGTACACATCTCAGACTTTCTCTCTGACATATCAAAATGAATGATGAAAAAATGCCCCAACTCGGTCCCTCCGATCATCAATGGAATGTCGTCTAGCAGTGCCTACACCACACTTAAGACAATCCAGACTGTTTTCATGTGTTGTTGACTCTGACAAGAGATTTCCTCTTGAGAGCTTATTGTTAGATTATTGATTACTGTAACATTGTGTCTAGTTTGAAAGTTGTTTTGGATAAAAGCGTCTGCTCGATGCATTAACACAAACATAAAATAAACAGAATTTCCAAATAAGTTGTTCTTTTCACCCCAATAAGCGTTTCAATGTTTCAATCTTCTGTTTAGATTTGCCTCAAGAAAATTTCAATTGTTAACTAAAGACGATAACTATTTTTTAAATTCAATATGAATAATATAAAGTTTTGGAAAATAATTTCTATATTATAAGGGTTTTAGAATTTGATATAAGTGCTCATTTAATATCAGTAGTCAGTAATTTGAGTTTAACAAACTTCCTTCTTTCTCTTCCTCTTTCAGAGCTCCAGCTGCTCACTGGAAAAACCTTTGAGCTGCGTGGTGGGGGAAATATCTGCAAGGCAAGGCAACGTCACTTTGAATGAGAGGCAGCTCTATACGGACAGCATCATCCAGCTGTCTGGGGACCACACAGGTAAATTCGGAGAACTGACCAAAGTTTAAAGTTCACTGGAGAAAGTGACAAACACAATATGTGGCTGACATTTTGTCCATGCTTTTAGTTGTCCATAGGTCTCTGGTGTTGAAAAATGGCAACAACATCATTGCATGTGCTACAATCCTCCCAGAATCCTCATCAGCAGAGCAGGTCTTTCCAAATGTGACTGATTTCAGCCGGTGAGTGTGTCATTTCAAGGCAAAAATTAAAGTGGGGTCTGGTCTTAATTCTCAAGACGGACTATTGGTCTTTTTTATTTTACCCATAATCTTTGAGCAAAATACTGGGCAAAATCCTTGAAAAGATGGAAAGAAACACGAACTCCTCTCAATCCACATCAGGTCTATCTGATGTTGACACAGCCCTGCAAAGTTCTGATCAAACCCTTTAATGTCCTGTCTTCCTGGGGAAGCTCCTTCTGCTCTCACTGAAGCAAGGACTGCCGTCTACCATTAAAAACTCATCTCCCACAAAATCTCAGAGTGAAACTTTACCTTTAGCTAGACTCACAAAGAGATCCCTCCCATAATGTTGTTAGATAACTTGGCTCCTTTCAGAGAGGCATTCCTTTGCATAAATTGGAGGCCCACCACGTAATCCTTCAGAGTGATGGTGAGGGTGGTATCCTTGGGTCAAGGAAAATGTTTGATTCACAACAATTTTGAAATAATTACTATGATTTGTCTTTTAAGCAGCAATGTTCCAGCTGTTTAAAATGGCTTGTAATGCAGAAAACATCAGAAACTATTATCAATATAATCTTTTTTCAGACCGTCCTTTTCAAAACATGCCCATGAGCCATTCCTTCATGCAGGCAAACATGAAAAATACTTAAGTTCAAAGAACAATTGGCCTCTTGATATTGTGAGAATGTAATGTAACATAGGACTTCTTATTGGTCATCTAACCAGATGCTTGAAACATTAGCTATAGCATTTAAGAAAGTGTTTCCCAGAAGTTCTTTTTGCCTCACGTGCTCCCATTTACCCATAGTGTAGGTTGTCATCACATTTATTTTGCGTTGAGAAACATGTTCCAGCACATGTTTAGCACCACACACCAATGAGGAAATGCCAGAGAATAACAATTGACATGCAAATGCAAGTACCATAAAAAGAGTTTAGAGGAAGTAGTTTCCATATTTATGTTGAGAGGGAAATCCTCACCATTTGTCGGTAGTTTCCATCATTTAACTTAAACACCCCACTGCCATGTTTCTGTGTCAGGAAAAGCCTGTTTTATTCCCTCATGCCAGCATCCAAAATGGAATGTAACCTGTTACAACTCTGCGTGTTGGCATGAGGAAACATTCTCAAATATTCAGTTTTCATTGAGACGGTGTATGATCTTTTCTGGTGGCAGTAATTAATTATCCGCTGAAAATTATACACATATTCTCATGGTTATCATGGTTTCACAGTCACCAGCAGGTACTGATTATGCATCTGGGATTGATATCTTTTAAAAATCAAGTACACTTGGGCAGTATTTCTTTCATATTCAAACATATGTGTGCCTTTACTTCCTGTTGCTGACTCAGCACTTTGGCTTGATCATATCTGTTTTATGTGAGGTTGTCGCTGGAATTTTGACACACATATCAACCATTGCTTTTTCTAATGAATGGTGCCTTGTCTCCAGTTATGTGTGATGCCAGTAATCAGGTCAAGTGTGACGGACTGCAGTGATGGTGCTCAATACACGTTATAGTTTGCTGAAACTCCTACTACTGTTGTCTACTTGGGATTGCTAAAGGTTGTCATGTTACTACATTTTTACCAATATATTTATTTACCTTCTTATCTCCAGATATGACTTTCGTAAGAGGGTTGCAAATGTGCTGCAGATGGAAATAGCAAGAGTTACCATCTTGCCTGGTGGTCCCAAATCTGTATCAGGTGGACGGTGCCAGGAAGTCAACTTCATGGTGTCAGGTAAGGCAGAAAAAGACCAATTCAATATTTGGAAAATGTATTGCATGCAACATACAACAAAACACCAAACATCAGAGAAGGTTAGTTGAGGAATTGAGACTGCAAGCATTTGTTTCTCTTTCCTGTATTATCTTAATTCCAGAAATAACATATGATACAATTAAGCAATTTCTACATATAGAAGCTACACATGTACCGAGGATAAAATAGCATCAGGTGGTGTGGCGTGGTGTTGTTGTGGTTGTTCTGCTCTGTGGGAGACAGTTGATCTCTTATATCCTTACAACACTTAAGATTTAAGTTGCAGCATTAACTTTGGTTAAGTGATGTAAGTATGCAGTCATGCCTCTATTCATTTTTACCCCAGAAGTTCCTTTTTTCAAAGGGAACCTTAATACGCACTGGCTCACCGTTAATAACAAGTAATACTTCATCTCTGTATTTTTTTAAATCTTGTCTGAGACAACATCAATAAGTCAAACAGAAAACTGAAGAAATCAAAACTCTTGACCACATGATAAATATTTTGTTTTTTAAAGAGCTGGCATGTGACGGTAAAAAGACGTTCATGTGTGATCAAATACATTTTTTTTAAATTCTATGTTTAGTCTTTGAACACCTCAGGGTTTTCTTTCAGAACCTGGCAAGTTGCAAGTAAGGACATGAGGACAATGAACAATTACAGGCATTGAAAATCTTTAGAAAACCTGAAAAATTGCTCAGTAACCCGATGCTGGACCTGAATGTCGGTGTGTCTCACTCTCTGTTCCTTCCACTTCCCCAAGGGGGAAGAGAGAGGTATCTGTGGAGAGGTTTCACACAAAATAACACACAAGACAGGCAATTATACCCTCAGAAGTCTCCCACGGGGTGAAAAGTTTACTATGGCACGATACCTTAGACAGACCTGTAGCTGGGAGGAGAAAGCAGGCAGACAATAATTTACATACACTTAAATACAGTGCAGTGTTAAGATTCACCTGTGATTATGAAAGCTCTTTTTCTTTATTAAAATGATTATGATTCAATTGGTTAAATAAGCAAAGACACTAAAATACATTTTTCAGTGTAGCAAGGGTTACAAAGGGTTCTGACCAAATGTTTCAAATGGCAAAACAATGCTTTTCATCCTGCTACAGTAATGATCAAATTGTGCAAATGAGCATTTCCTGCACGTAGTCTTAGTCTATATGTAATCAAACATTACCATATTGTATCTTAAAGGAGATGTCAGCACAGAACTGCTGAGTTCCGTCAAAACCAGCGCAGCCATGGGCATGTTCAGAGAGTCTGGCGTGTGCACCCGTAAGTACACTTATAAATGTCTTCATATCAAGTTGAAGTGCTAAAATGCAAGAGCAATACTGAGAGTTTTTCTTTTGTCAAAGTATTTTGGGTATTTTGCTAGACAATTATCTCCTAATTAAGATTTAGCAGATTATTTTTGACAAGGACAGAAAGAGTGCAGAATTGACTACTCCAGCCTTTATGGACCCACTGTTGTGGTTGGGTGTAATGTCTCAAACAGGCACAAAACAAATAGATACTATTGTACTATTGCCACAGTATCCACTTACTAAAGTGAGAAGGTGGCCTCTCTGTCATATTCCTTTTAGACCAAGTAGTCTTAGTGTAGTCTGCTGCACAAACCTAACAAACCAGTGACTGAAAAGTCTAAAAGTATACTTATACTTTTGCAGAGAACTCAAACAAACAAATCTTCAAAATGTGTGGTGCCATTTTAGAAAAACTTTATGGGCCTAAGCATTACTAAAGCTTAGTAATGTTGACTTACTGGAAAAAGTATGATTTTTTTTTCAGATTCCATGGGGTCATGTTTTGCAACTCTATTTAGCGCAGAAATTCCCCTTAGATCTGGAGTGGAATACAGAAAAATTATTTCACCCTGTCAGTTTGGAACAAGAACTCAGTTGCTTTAACAAGTGGTTTATCTGCATTAAAAGTTTACACACATTTAAAAGTTTACACACTCAGCAAGTTTTTGAGTACAGCTTCGCTTCACTCTTGGATAACCTGTGTACAATGTCCTGATTTCCTCAGGAAACGCAGGGATGCAGTTCGTACCAGGAAGTTTCCTGCTTGGCCTGCTGGTTGCTGCTGCTTGCCTGCTGACATCCACAAGTTATTTGTAGTTCTCAGATTCGGCCACGTTGTGTGCGATTGCTGGATGTTCTTGTTGTAAAACTGTAAATAATTCTATGAAATATTCCCCATCAAATCCTGTGGCGGTCATCAAGCAAATGTTTCTCTTGGTACAAATGTCATGAGGAAATTAAGATCTTCCAGTTTTGAATTAATCTTCTATCAAAACCAGTATGCTTTTTCTATATGTAATCCATTTTTTGTTATGGTGTCTGCTGTTGTTCTCATGTTTATTCAATAAGGGTAATGCTCTCTGTTTTTAAGGCCCCAACTTCCTTTTTTATGCACGCATTATCCATACAGTCATCTGCAATTATGTGTAAATATTAATATATGTATATTATATTAATAAAGGGATTATTGATTGTATGCACATCTGCTGGTATTCAGTTTGATTTTCTAGTTTCAAAAGGGGAGTCGGGGTGTATTCATAGACTTTCACAGAGCGAGATGTGATGTACATCCAGTGCTGCCAGTTCATTATAAAACTAAGCGGACCATGTAAGCTCAGAGACATATGGCTTTAAATAGAGGTAGTAATGCATGTCTTTGGACATTACTATGTTGAAAACTCCACACAGAGAAGCCAAGATGAGTCTAATTAAATTTGTTCCAATTTTGTGCATAAAAGCTACAATTATGAGTATCTACATCTAGTTTCAAAATGCATTTAGAATATAATACAGCAATCTTCGACATACATTTATTGCATTATAAATACTTATATTTATAATAATAATAATATATGAATCCCTTGAATGAAGGTAATATTACGAATTTAAAATGGTTAATAAAATATACTTCAGGGAAATATAGATAGACAAACAAAAATCAAATAAAACCTGAAAGACCGACATGTTCCATTAATTTAAAGTTATTCTGATGCTGCCGTGTGTCTGCGGATGAAATCTATCCGGAGAAAATAGGCGAGTCCGGCTCTCTCTGCGTCTACTGGAAGAGAAGGAAGTCACGTGATCTCTGACGTCGACAGTGAAATGGCAGCCTCCTGTTTAGTAAATTGACACAAGGTCCAAGCTGGTAAACAAAAAGAGACTATATTCTCAACCCAAGCGACACATTTCAAAGGTGGACGTGCGGGTGTGTATTGAGTATTCCATTGCTGTATGGGGGGAGTTTTAGCATAAACTAGCGAAGCTCAGAAAAATAATCGTTTGGTCTTCCCACGGCTCAGAGGAGCGAGAAGCGACGTATTTGGACTGTTTTGAAACGAGGGAGACGGTCGTCCATCCCACGCCTTTCTCTGTAGCCTGTTGCTGGTTATTCAAGCTGTGAGAAGCGCCTTTGGTTTGTAAAGCAGTGCGATAAGCTAGCAACTTCATCCTTGATATGGCACCACACCCACTACGAAATTCTGCCAATTTGTCTGGCTGTGTTATTGTTTGTCTGAGGTTAAACGCGATGCCTGACTGGGGGAGGAAAACACCCTGAAGCGCTATGGTTTTCTCAATTTTAATTCAAAATATTACAATAAGTCTATTACGTTTGGTCTTGTTCGCATACAATTGAATGGTACTCATTCATCTAATGCCCACTTGTAAACAACAATCGCAAGCAGAACCTTTAGCCAATGGGAGAGCTCATCGATGGAAGGTGCTTCAACGTGATTGGTTCATTTGCGGAAGTTTTTTTTCTATCTGATCATTTATGCAATTTTACTGTTGTTGAGGCAATAATGGATTCATATCTCCTAACAGTTTTATTAGCTTGCTGGTGGGTTGCATAAATCCCGGGTTGAAGCTGTAAGCTTTTCTTTTAATATTTAACTCTGACTGCTGTGACAGTTGCTTAGTCAACAAGTTGAACATTTAGGTGTTGACTGTTACTTTGAGCTCCACGTATATTCAGGTAGACCTCAGTCAGTCACGGTCCAGCTTTAGTCATCTGATTGCAACATGGCTTCCCAAAAGTCCGGTAATATGCTTTTTAATTAGTACATATACTAAAAGAAAACTAGACCATAATAGGCACGCATGGTCTTTTGATTAACTTTAAGTATAGAAGAGTTTTAGATGTGTGTTTGTGACTTCTGTCTGCATTTGTCATCAGAAACATTTTTTAAATATCTAACTTGAGATGTGTTAGTGTTACCAGACTGTTTGAATTCAATCACCTTTATGAGATGTGCCCTCTTCTCTGTCCAAGAAGACACAGCCATGTCTCCAAAGATCACAGGAGAGCTCCTCCGACTGCTTCGACAGGCGATGAGGAGTTGCAAATACTTCTCAGAGCCCATACATGCCTACATAATCCCCTCTGGAGATGCCCATCAGGTTAGTCCGACACACAAGAAACACCTTTATTGCAGTTTACATGATGAAAGCTAGCAGTAAACATGCACTTCATAATGAAGATACATGTAACATTTTTTTAAATGTGTGCATGGTGTGATTAGAAAAAAGTAGCATAGGTATGATATTGAAATTAATTCACACTGATTTTAAATTAAGCTCATCTCTCCCTCTCTTGGGGTGCTTTTGTTGTTGCTCTATGTGTCTTTTAGAGTGAATACATCGCACCATGCGACTGCAGACGTGAATTTATTTGTGGCTTCAATGGCTCAGCAGGTATGTTTTTGTGTTTTTGACGTTCAGTAAATTAATTTTGATTTCAAACCTCTCCTGAAGTGTGTAGAAACCAGAATATAAGATTGATTTGTTTTACGCAAACTGGTTGTAACATTCAGCTTTTATTAATTTGATATGACTAGAAAGGAAGTTATGCAAAGGTTTGTCATATCAAATTTATTCAGCATAATAGCTGGTTAGTTTTGGATTATGTTAAAAGAGGTCTTCTTTTGTTGAGGGTAATTTCACCTTCCACTTTCATATCCGTACATTTGGTAATTAGAGAGCTCGCTCATTCTCAGACTGATTGTGTACCGCTGTAATATCAGCTGTATGGCCTAAACTGTGTAAAGCTGCTTTTTAGAACTGAGTGAACTGTGTTTGACCCAGCGTCTAACCATACAAAGTCAGCAAACAGGCCAAAGAGGTCAAATGAAAGTAATTTACTATCTTTCGGCTTTATTGTTCAGGTACAGCTATTGTCACCGAGCAGCATGCTGCAATGTGGACGGATGGCCGATATTTCCTTCAGGCCAGCCAGCAGATGGATAACAACTGGACTCTTATGAAAATGGGTAATGCCCATTTTATGTTTATTTCGTACATGATGAAGCCGACTCTTGGTAATGTTATATGTAGTCTTCAGTTGTGTTTTTAGACATTTATACAAAAATAAAAAAACTTTTTATACATTATAACCTGCCTTCAGTATTCTTTAATAGCATCATCTTTTATATACAACACAAACAATAGTTGTCTTATCTTTTACACTCTACTAAAATCTCCTAAGGTGTAGGTGATCATTCTTTCCTGCATTTTCTGTTTCACATCAGGACAGTAGAATTCAGAGTAAGTTAAATCAGTATGTCTTCACATCCGATGGCTTGTTTTTTTCCCTTACATAAAGGACTGAAGGAGACACCTTCTCAGGAGGACTGGCTGATCAGCGTCCTGCCAGAGAATTCTAAAGTGGGAGTAGATCCTTGGATCATTGCAGCTGGTAGGAAACAGTCCTTTTCTTCAATAAGTTCAAACACACGCTGCTCATCTCAGGTTTACCCGAAACACTTTACCCAAACTGAAACACATGAGGAAATGTGAGTTATGAAACCTTGCATATAACCTTTTGTCCTTTAGATTGAAAAAACATGCATTCAGTTTCCTCACCTTGCAAAGCACCTGAAAGAAAATCTTATATCAATCGAATTTCAAGTTTTTATCCGATTGTGCAAATGTTCAATCCATGTTCTGATGTCATGTTCCAGACCAGTGGAAGAACATGTCGAAGGCGCTGACCGGTGCCGGCCACTCGCTGGTGGCAGTGCAGGATAATCTGATCGATATTGTCTGGACACACCGACCAGAAAGACCCAGCACACAACTCCGCGTCCTGGGAGTGGAACAAACCGGTCAGTGCTCCACTACACTGCAGGCAGCTGTTTAACAGTAGCTGAGAAAGGTCACGTTTTTGAAAATATTTTTTTAAAAAGCAACACAATTTAATATAAGAGGTTTTGAAGTCAACGGAACGGATCGATTCGGTGAAAAACAAATTGTTGCCGCAAATTCTGCTCAATCTTTTTTTATCTATCCTCCTAATTTGAGAGTAGACGGAGTAGTAATTTGCCAAGACGACATGAGTTACTGCTGTGTGATTTATGCCATGTGTGATTGTGTCTCTCCACAGGAATTTCCTGGCAGGACAAGATCAATGTGCTGCGAGCCAAGATGACTGAGAGGAAGATCACCTGGTTTGTTGCCACTGCCCTGGATGAGATTGCATGTATGTTACAGTTTTAGTTGTTATCGGGAGTGGCAAATCAGTTTGACATTTGATTGAAATTCCAGCACTGCCCTTTCTCTGTAGTTATCTTTTATGATTCAGTGCAGCTATGGTCATTGATGCTTTGCTTTTGTTGGCTGCATTTAGACAAAATGGGCGGATTTTAATTAATCAATGTTATTCCAACAAGAACATGCCTCACATGGGCGTGATGTCGTGATAAGGCCTTCTTTGTTCTACACTGACATGCAGTCATCTGACAGTTGTGTATTTTGATTCGTATTTACTTTATCATTTTTCATGTGTCATTCTGTCTTTTCCAGGGCTTTTCAATCTCCGCGGTGCAGACATTGAGTACAATCCTGTTTTCTTTGCATACGCCATCGTGGGGATGAACTCAATAAGGTGACGGCGCTCAACATGATGCAGTAGATTGTTGGTTTGCAACCTTTTTCTCTAATGTCATGATTTGCAGATCACTTTAGATGACGGAAATGCGGATGCCACATGTAGGTCACTTGGATTGAGTGCCACCCTTTGGCTTACTTCTTGAAAATGAAAAAAAGACAGCTATTGGCTTAGACAGAAGAACGAGGAAGCTGATTTAGACAACTGGTTTTTGCTGTGTCATGCTGTCCAAAAGCCAAACAGGTTCACGGAAGTGTGATTAAATGTGCTTAAACACAGCAAGTCTGCACGTTCTCATAGAATCACTGACGTCGTCCTGTCCTGATATTAGGCACCCATTTACTATTATTAGCCAGAAATTGGTTATTATAAATGGATGATGAGGTGTGTGCCGTTGGGTTTCTGCAATTTTCAGAGTAAACTTTCTTCTTATTACCAGATAGGAGCTCTTTGGTCCTTTTGATTATCTATACTCACTAAAGCAAGTTCAGGATTCTCTTCCTTTTACCTGCTTCCCTTCTACCACCAAAAAACCCCTCTTTGCAGGCTTTTTGTGGACCTCAAGCGTCTCTCTGACCCGGCACTGCGAGAGCACCTGCAGCTGAACGCCCCCAGCAAGCCCGAGCTGAGCATCCAGACGTTCCCGTATGAGTCGGTCTACGGCGAGCTCCAGGCCATTTGTGCCGCGCTCAGCCCCAAAGACAAAGTGTGGATCTGCGACAAGGCCAGCTGCGCCCTCACGCAGGCCATCCCCAAGGTGAGGGAAATACCATCACGGGAACTGTTGGGCTTTTGTAAATAAATAATTAATCGCAAAAGGGTCTGACTTTCCCTTTTAGAAAAGAGCTGTGAGAGAACTTTTCTTTTAATTTTGCGTTATATAAATGAAATTTAATTGAATAATCTGAACGATGATCATCCTTCACTGGAGTTCACAGAAGATAAAAATCTGAATATTTTGAATTAATTGTCCTAGGTGTTGTCACCTCCTTAGCCATAAAAAGGCCGCAGACTGCGTCCTTCCTCATACCTGTCCGCCCCAGCTTGGCGGCTCACGCCTTTTTTTTTTTTTACACGGAAATGCCTTTGATGTATCAGACAAAAAATGTTCCATCAGTTCCATCTGTTTTCGGTTTTTACATCAGTTGTTTGCTGAAGCATTTGTCCCTTCATACAGGATTTTTTAAATAATTTCCACTAAATCTTTTGGGATTTATGGTCAAAATAATGCATAGAGTTCACAATGTAGAAAAGTAAGCATACTACCACCTACTTCAAATCTATTTTCTGCAACATCGAATGTCCTCGCAGGCCCACAGGACTCCGATTCCCTACACTCCCCTCTGCCTCTCTAAGGCGGTGAAGAACTCTACAGAGATTCGAGGCATGAAAATGGCCCACGTAAGAAGCTTTGAACTTTGAATTGCTTTTAAAATTCTTCTTCATTTTACTTGTGATTCAACAAGTCAATTGTGCATCATTTCGGCCTTTCATCAACAGATCAAGGACGCTGTTGCCCTTTGTGGACTCTTTGCCTGGTTGGAAAAGGAGGTATCAATGTCTTTCTGCTTTCCCCAATTGGAGAGGAAATGTTCTATTTTCTATTTTGTGACTGACAAGTAGACATAACCGAGAACGAATAAGTAAAACCTAACCTTTTAAGCTTTTGGCCTTTTGCTGTTAAAGCTTAGTCTACCACTCCTCCTTTTGTTTTCTACTGCTCTTTATTTTATGTTTCTGATAGTAGAAGCTTTGCTCTAACGTAGGTTTTTAAATCACTCAGCGTGCACTTAAGCCTCATTGTGCTTTTTAAAAATCCCATCCTCATAACTTTTTGTGCTGCTTGTCATCTTGTAGATACCAAAAGGGACGGTGACTGAGATCTCTGCAGCCGACAAGGCAGAAGAGTTGCGCAGGTATTTTTGCTCTTATCATTTTTTAAATAGGCTTTCCTTGTTTGTGTGACAAACACATCCAGCTGAACGTCACGACCACATTAACGCCTAAACATAATTTATTTGAAAAGTTGCCACAGTCACTTTATCTGCATGTGTAAACCAGATCGGGGATCTTATTGTGTGTCTTTTTCAGCCAACAGAAAGATTTTGTTGGCCTTAGCTTCCCAACAATCTCCAGTGTGGGTCCAAATGGAGCGATCATACATTACAGGTGAGCAAGAGGACAAGATTTACATCAGTATTTGTGATGTTTTGGTCTCTACTAATTATTATTTGAGCTTTTTACTTCTTCATGTTTTCTTTTCTTTTTCTTTTACAGACCACTGCCTGAAACCAACAGAACTCTCACCGTGAATGAAGTCTATCTGATCGACTCTGGAGCTCAGTATATGTAAATACATGTTGTTGTTATTCATACAGTAATTGTTTTTTAGGCTCAGCCGTGTCACCTCATGCACTGGGGTGATTTCTATGATCCAAAGGAATGTTTGCCACGAAAATATCTTCCTTCTTCTTCTTTTTCTCTGTTCGTCAGTGATGGAACCACAGACGTCACGCGCACCATGCACTTTGGCACACCTTCAGATTTTGAGAAGGTACATTTTGTTAGTTAAATTTTATATTAAAATATTTTTTTCCCTGGTTTGGGTTCCGTTGGACAAATCTTTCATTGGTGTAATGTTTTCTCTTTTCCCCATAGGAATGTTTTACTTATGTGCTGAAGGGACACATAGCTGTCAGTGCCGCCATTTTCCCCAATGGAACAAAAGGTGCCCGCTTTGTCATGAGAGATTAAGCCTGTAAAATCTTAATGAAATGTAAATAGTGCACAAGTGTTTTGATGCAGGAAGGTATCAAAAAGTATCCATCTTTTCAGATATTTATTCAATATTTTCTTGAATATTGATTTTTATAGACTTTTCATTCTTTCATTTGATTCACTCTTTAGATTATAAGAAATCACCCAGACAATGGTTGCCTTTTGAAACGTGTGCCGTATTCTTTACCTCATTCATTTATCATCTCTTTATTTGAATCTCAGTTCTTTTTTGTATGTTTATTTCCTTAACATATTTGGATTATCCCCTTTATTTGATTGTAGTGTATCCCTTCTTTTTTTATCCCCTTTAAGACATAAGTGCTGGTTTCCTTGTGCATTTCCACCTCCTTTTGTGAATAAAGGCATCAGTCCTCAGCTGTAAACCTCCCTGCCTGTTCCAGGCCACCTCCTGGATTCCTTTGCCCGCGCGGCCCTGTGGGAGTCGGGACTGGACTACCTTCACGGTACCGGTCACGGTGTCGGCTGCTTCCTGAACGTCCACGAGGGACCCTGCGGCATCAGCTACAAAACCTTTGCTGACGAACCTCTGGAGGCCGGCATGATAGTCAGCGACGGTATGACAAGGGGCGGGGGGGGGTGTTTAAAGTACTTCTTTTCTCGAACAAAATTCTTTCTGCGTCTGAAACACATTGTATATACTGTGTGTCTTCATCTGTTGTCAGTTCTCTAAATTATGGTAGTCTTTAGAGTTTTAATGCAAAAATGTTTTTTTAGGTCTGTTGCTCAGTTGTCTTTACTGTCTTTGCTCCCATGTCGTTTCCCTAGAGCCTGGCTACTATGAGGATGGATCATTTGGCATTCGCATTGAAAACGTGGTCCTTGTTGTACCAGCTAAACCCAAAGTAGGTTTCCAATCTTAAAATCTCATTTGGTCAGTGTCCAAAAAGCATCAAACTCCTCAGGGGTGAGTTCATAGTGGGAAATTAGTCAGAAAATCTTTCTGTGTGTCTGTATTTTCAGTACAACTACAGAAACAGGGGCAGTCTGACATTTGAGCCCCTGACTCTGGTCCCCATCCAAGTTAAAATGATGAACACAGATCTGCTCACACAGAAGGAGGTGAGACCGTAATTTATGTTTAATATTTCAAATGATATACGCCATGTTCACCCTAGTGAAATTTCTTCATTCTGTGAAACATTTTACGCTTATAATTGCCCTTTATGATATCATGGACTTTGATAACCTCGTCCTTTATATCTGGCAGCGTGATTGGGTGAATGAATACCACAGGAAGTGCCGGGAAGTGGTCGGAGCGGAGTTGGAGAGGCAGGGCCGGAGGGAGGCTCTGGACTGGCTGATCAGAGAGACTCAGCCAATCGTCTGAGCCCTGACTCAGTGCAGCCCGGTCATTTTTACCCAGAACTACGTACCAGTTGCCCTGCAGCGGTTATCATTTGTACTTTTCTCATCTATCTCTGTGTCTCACTCTCAGCTTTTTGTAAAGCACATTGCATCAGCAATTTTATTAAAAGATTGTTAAAAGTTTGACACAGAGAAATGCCAGAACTAATGGCTGTGTGTGTGTGTTCTGCTCCTGCATTTTTAGCCAGAGAATTATGACCCAACTTCGATTGTGCTTTGAGCTCTTTATGTCTAGATGTTTTCTACGTCACAGCGCCATCGTGTGTAGACCCTTAAACATCACATGTCAGTTAGTTGTTTTGACATGAGCTCAACGGCTGTAAAACTGCATCTAAATCTTACTCCACATTTAAAACCTGCATTAATTTAAGTGTGTAACAAACAGTGGCAGGATCACTTGGAGCTACCATGGCTTGTCCAATGTTTTTTGCACCACTTTGCAGAATAGACAGATAAAATACATCGACCGAACTGGAACTAATGAGTCATAAAATCAGGGATTATATCAGAAAGATTTTCCACCGTATTTTAAAGCTGCCATCTTCTTTTCTTCTTTCTTAGTTGGTGATCCAAAACATATTTTCCTTTGCGACTCACTACAGTATTAGTCTACATAGATAACAACATTGCTCATGAGCATTAGTGTAGTTCAGGGCCATATATGACTATTATTACACAATAATAACAAGCTGGGAAACTTAGATTCAGTGAGGTGAGATGAGAAGTGCTGTTCAAAGATCTGTGCATGCTGGTAATGTTTGATACACACAACTGCAGGAGTCCATGCAAACAGAATTGAGTGAATTGTCTCTAACCGGTCTCATTACAAGTTTGACTTCCAGTCCTCTAAAGCTGCATGTAGAATATTGGAGGGTCCAGGACCACGCCGCTGTTGGGGTCTTTTGCATAGTCTTGCAGAGACAAAGGCGACACCGGCGCATTCTGCTCCTCCGGCCTGCTGCTCCCCGCGCTGCGCCCCTTCTCCTCTTCCTCCCTCAGTCCCACGGGCAGTGGGTTGCTGTAGATGTAGTAGATCCTGGAGTTGTCCTTCGCCGCTTCTGCTTTCCTGAAGAAGGCGAGAGGGTTGATGAAACTGGTCGACCGCTTCACGCCTCTGACCTCCACGGGGTCCTCCGGCTCCCCGCGGGTCACTGCGCTCTCATAAATGTGCGCTCTCTTTGACTGCCTGGTGAATAAAGCAGCAGTCACTGCAACACTGATATTCCAGTTAGGTTTGCTTACATTGCTCTTTCGTGGATTTATCATCACACTCACAGCATAGGCCATTACTGAAAAAAATCTTCTGATGAAATTTTAAAAGAAATGCACACAGATTGATACAAATATCCAATATGTTACTACCAACAATTGTATACTATTAACATTTATCTAAACCCTCTGGACACAGTCAAAATTTGAATGAAGAAACTCTCAAATTTGATGAAAAGAATGGAACCCTCGTCCTCACCTGGTGCGGTGGTAGCAGAGAATGACGCAATACACAGCAGTCACAGTGAGAATGCACAAGGCCAGGGCAATGATGACGATGTTAAACACTCTGAATTCTGGAGAGCAGTAAACAGAACAAAAAAAATAAGAAAGAAGGAAAAAGGACCCGAGACTTTCTGCTGAGCGCAATGATAAAACGAATGCTATTGGAGCGTTACTCACCAAAGAAGGATGCGCTCATCTCCCCGTCTTGCAGCTCCACTTCTGTGCTGGTGTTCAGAGGGAGGCTGTCTGCCATCAGAGCTCCGTCCCGTTGGGCTCCGCTCATGCTGCTGCCATTGGCGTCCCAAACATGGACTGCAGGCAGGCTTCAAGCCTCTTCTCTGTGAGTTCGAGAGAAACCCATGGTCACGTGACTCACACAGCTTGACCGTTGCTGTGGAGACACCCTCCATCTTTTGTCAATGCCCCGTTCAAGTTAGACACCCCCTTTTGAGCCCGTCAGCTTCTCTCCTTGTTTACTGCTCATTATTCTGTGCAGCTTTCCGGGGGTACACCGAGGGGAGGAAGATGGCAGGCCTTTTAAATGGTTCGCAATGAAAATTGAATGGATTCTCAAAAGTTTGCATGAGTAAACTAATCAAGAAGTGTAATAAAAAGCTGAGAGTAGTTTTATTACAGTGGTTGGACAGAAAAAATAATGTGAAATCAAAATGTAAAGTCTCTAAAATGAAAAACGAAAACAGATGTATGTATTTTTGAGTAGTTCAAAAAAGTTTCCTTTTTCTTTTTTGTAACAAATTAAGATAGTAAACTGCATATTTAACTTTTTTAAAATCAAAACAAACATAGACATGTTTTCAATATTATGAGCTGGTTTCATGCAAAGTTTCTATTTCCTTGTCACATCTGTCATCGTTTTCTTCCTGTTGCCTATTTGTTTGCTACTGTATTTTGAGGACAAGAGCTCAGCTGAATGGAATATAGGAGCAGTTTGGATTTACGGGTCAGTGCCCCCAAAGAGACGTCTGAACATGGCCAGTAAAAAGGCAACAAAGGCAGCTTTCTCCCTTGCCCTTATGCATCACTTCACGCAGCACCATGGGTGATATTACGCAATTAATGGCGCATCTAATTAAAGCAGGTTTTCCTTTTGACTGGGTGGGCTGCCACACAATGTGAGCTCGCAGAAAATGATTTATCTCATGAAACTGAGCGGTCTGAATCCTTGTTGCCCAATACTGAATCCTTTGTGTATCGTATTGCCATAATCTATTGCCTGAATTGTCAGAACCTTTTCACCCAGGACCATTTCGGATGTTCAATACAAAAATATTGGATCTGTTTGAACAAACAGAACAATCAAACTGTAACGATCAATCAGATCTTTTTGTGCAGACTTCATCCACTAGATGTCCCACTTTGCCAGCTTTTCCGTGCCTCTAATTCCAGTCAGTCCTCAGGAAGGGGCAGCACAGGGGCGTTATCAATGTGGTAGATTGAGGTCGTACGGCCGCTGATGCTTTCATATTCCGAGTCAGTGTACCGCAAAGAAAAACCAGACCATCGATAAGGAAATGTGCCGTGACCGAGACGCTGAAATATCTGTTTATTAGCCTCCCAAATGCCTTTAACAGTTTTATATTTTCACATCCGTCCCAGCTCTGTGCACGCTGAAGTTGTTTTGATTTAAAGGGAAAGTGGGTGGCATTACATTGGTATGGTTTGTTTGAATAGGACTGCGTGCATAAACCAACCTTCCCTGTGGTAGTTTCATTGGGAGGAAGATGGAGAATACTCCGACTGAATGTTTTTCACTCTCAGCAACAACTGAAATATCAACACAAAACGGAAACGACAAATTTATCTCACACTTCACAAGAGTACTTTTTTCTATTTTTATTGCATTTCTTTATACATATAACTCAAAAACATGGTTTGTTATGTCAAAGACTACATTTCTGACAAATATTACTGTTCAGTATTCAGCATGTAACTTTCTACCTTCATCCTTAACTCTTATAAAGTTGAGTTTAGTACTTATTGTGAGAGATTATTTGATCTGTACAGTTTGGCTTCCAGGAGGTCAGATAGTGGCAAAACCCTTTTTTATAGTCACGATTAATTATTGCTCCATCAACTACAGACATGAGAGGCATCTGGTTTTGATTTGTGGTCTTTATTAAACTGATACCAAATTAAAATACTCCAGTTTGAACTCTTGACCTCTTGTCCTTTCAGAAGAGTGTGAGAAAAAAAACAATGTTCCTCAATTTGAAATATTATTGCATGCCCTTCAAAGAGTGCACAGCTTTTACGTCACTGTGTCAGCGCCTTTTACAGTAAAGTCTCTGGTAAAGAATGGTGAAAAAAATTATAAAAATATTAACAACACTTAACATGAAAGTGGAAGCAAGATGTAAACCTGATTAATATAAAAAAGTTGGAATGCTGCTAAATGTAAACGTGTTAGTAACCAATATTGGGTTAACATTTAAAGTGAGTCCTAAAGTGAATATAAGCATATTATTTATTTAGTTTGACCAACTTGTTTAAAATAGTTGGGATACTCATGCAGTTTATCATTAACATGCTGAAATATAAAAAAGTTAATTATTCTGACACAATGATACAATTTGTAGAGAACAGAACCTGCTCATCTTTACGTCTGGTATACTCCATGTTTGACTTATTGTTTCTCATCAGTTTCAACATCTTTCTCTTCTGCAAGTTACCTTTTAATTTGTTGTTGCCTTTGTTCCATTTTTGGCAAAGTTCTACTCCCATCAAATTCATGAAGAACGTAAATTGTATGTTTAAAAAAATGGATGCTTTCCATGAATATTAGTTAATGAGATTTACAAATCATCACATTCTGTCTGCACTTACAAAGTGAAACAACTTTTATTTAACTGCGTTCTTGGATGAGGCTTGAGAGACAAGGATCATGAAACTCAAACACAGTAAATAAAGAAGTACTGAACTGGCACTCATCAGATAAAGACTGTGTATAAACGCTCACAATCTGGAATTTAACTTAAACTGTTCACATGCAAGGGGGGACAGAAATGAAGCACTTGGGAAAGAAAGTCTTTGAAAGCATGCCAGATTCAGAAAACACAGAATAAAATATTTGATGTCACCGTTAATGCACACTCTCATTCTCACACCCGATTTGCCAGCAGCACCTCATTCATCACTGTTGTACGTTGTTCATAAGCAACATAATAATTTTTTATTTTTACTTCCCCTGAGGAAGTGGGCTACGCTCTCTATTTTTACTCTGAGCTTTGATGTGTTGCTATCTGGAGATGCCCATTCTCCCAAAATGAGTGGTGAAATTTGTCCCCACGCCACAGAAATGAGTGGGACACATTTCATTATGAATAAATGGTTAGACGGCAACATTTAACTGTGTTTCTGTAGGACAGCATGCATGCAACCTTATTAAAACCTAAAACCATGTATGCACATTGAAGTAAAAAAGCATTTTATTCTCCAAACTCTATCCAACTGCGACCGGCTGCAAATCTGATGGATGATAAGCCCTTAAACGTTCAAACTGCCTTTGGTGTAATCCCGTTGTCCAGCCCCATGCTTTCTGCGAAGGGAAATGTAGGCATGTTGTAATTCTTAAGGGAGTGTGACTTGTAATGATTTTTAACCTAGTAAGTGCAGTCATTTCAGAATGTTTAATATTTCTAAATTAGTTTTTTGATGTGGAACCACATGGCTGTCATACATTCTGAATAAGACAGCACTGTCAGAGGGAGGAGCCTGTGCGTTTTTTTCTCTTCTTGCTGAATCACTCACGGTTTTTTGACACACATTTATTCCTCCGCCCTTTTTCTTTTTCCATTCTCTCTCTTACTCCCATAGTCCACTGTTTGCTCCCAGGGTAGATCTATTTAGAGAAGTCTGATATCCGCTCCTCCCAAAGTGAATCAAGATTTTGACCCCATCTAATGGTAGTAGTGGCACGGTTAAGAATGAGAATTCTTTTAAATTCAGGAGCCGTTTGGTGGTATTTAATATTATTTGCTCATAAAATCAGTCAATCATCTCTGTCATAATCTTCCAAAAAACCATCCCCACTCTGTGGATGGTAAATTCCTGACCATCCCTCATCAGTCAGTCTCAACCCTCCTCCCCCTCCACTCTGCTCTGCCTCTCTGCCTCCCCCTTATGTGTTTATACAGGGGTTGGTGAGGAATTAGAGTTCTGGCAAGTTTCATTTGTTCTGATGTGGTTCAGCGGAAAGGTTCCGCCTTGATTTATTACACTTGTCAGTTAAATGTCTGGAGGTACATTTTAATACACAAGGCTAAATAACATATGGATCTCTGATTTTCATCAGAATATAGTGAATTGCCTACATTTGGGCAAGTAACAAAAGATGTATGATTATTAGAACACATAAAGACAATTTATTTAATTTATAATTATTTACAATAAAAATATTTGTCGTCTGTTTAGTTCAGTTTTGAGAAGTGTACGAAGGAAGAAGGAATAAAATGGAAACCTTACAACAAAAGTGATGTAACTACATTTTTGGTCATTAAAATAGCTACAAATTCATGAGCGCATGTCTTTATTTAAAGATTAAATCTACAACGTATACTGAGGAAAATTTGTCAGTCTGTGATATTTTTCAACGCTCCGTGTTACTTCGTATTGTTGCTGACTGAAGCTTTTCTGTGTGAAATTGGCACATTTGCTCTGTGCCTGTTGGTCTTTTTTTTGTAGGAGCTGTGATTTTCCCCCAGTTTTCAAATGCTTCCAAGTTCCAAGTTGCGATTACATGCTGGCAGTTGTATGGCAGTTTGAGAGATCAGAACTGTCTGTGTCTGTTCAGGTTCTACAATAGACTTAAGCTCTTAATAAGTAATGGACAGATGATAACCAAAAAATGAAGAAACCAAGCATTAATCAGACTGTAGATTATCAAAAATCAGAAAGAGAAAAATGAATAATTTGCTCAATGTATATGAAAAAGATTTTAGTAATCAAATTATGCTATAAACCGTGTAATATATTGCTCATTAACACTATAAAAGATAATTATGGAGATGGTGTTAAATAAATTGATTTCTTACGTGTGCAGGTTTTCTGACTTTTGCAAGCTTCTCCTGTTCAGCTCATAAATTCTAGAATTCATTCCATAGTTTCATGTTATTATGAATTCAGTTTGTAATTCATAATCTATATGTTGTGCCCCAGGATATCCAGGGCTCATATGCAGCGTAAGAGACTGTCCTTAACCCCATGTGTTCCTTTGTGGTAAATACTCTTGAAGGCTGAAACAGCCTAGTCTAGACTTCTGTTTATATAATATGTGACCTGAAGTGGTCATGACAGAAACGAGGCACAAAGTGTGAAATTAGCATCCATGATGGTTAGAGATTGGTAAAAGAACAGAGTTCATTTCCCGGAAAGATTTCTAATAATCAAAGCTTGAATAGCTGTGAGAGGCACCG